ATAATAATAATAATAATAATAATAATACATTTTATTTGAGGGCGCCTTTCAGAAACCCAAGGTCACCTTACAAAAAACACAATTAATAAAAGGAACAATAGTCATAAAATACATTAAATAAGTTAAGTTATTAACCTCTGTCTCTCTTCCACAGCATGTCTTTATCCTGTCTTCCTTCTCTCACCCCAACCAATCACAGCAGATGGCCCCGCCGTCCCTGAGCCTGGTTCTGCCGGAGGTTTCTTCCTGTTAAAAGGGAGTTTTTCCTTCCCACTGTCACCAAAGTGCTGCTCATAGGGGGTCATATTATTGTTGGGTTTTTCTCTGTATGTATTACTGTAGGGTCGACCTTACAATATAAAGCACCTTGAGGCGACTGTTGTTGTGATTTGGTGCTGTGTAAATAAATGAAATTGAATTGAATTGAATTACAAGAAGGCCTATGACTCAATGCCCCCACAGCTGGATCCTGGAATGCATGGAATTGTACAAGATCAACGGGACCCTAAGAGCCTTCATCAGGAACTCAATGGGGATGTGGCATACAACACTAGAGGCCAACTTCAAGCCCATAGCACAAGTCAGCATCAAGTGCGGGATCTACCAAGGAGATGCTCTGTCCCCACTGCTTTTCTGCATAGGACCGACTGCAGAATGGAGCAGCAGAAGGAAGGAGGCCGGGGATTGGTGAGTGTCAGCACCACAGTCCAGGATGAGACAACAAATATCCATGAGTACATCGTGAAGATGTCCCCAACCAACCACATGCTCAGTGAATACCTCAGGCAGCAGAAACCCAAGAGGAGGAACTATCATGGAAGGACTGGCCCTCAGGAAGAAGGAACATGAGAAGCTCAGAGAAGAGCTGGAGAAGATGTGGAGGGTTAAGGTGACAGTGGTCCCAGAGCACTAGGTGCAGTGACCCCCAAACTAGGTGAGTGGCTCCAGCAGATCCCAGAAACAACATCGGAGATCTCTGTCCAGAAGAGCGCAGTCCTAGGAACAGCTAAGATGCTGCGCAGGACCCTCAAGCTCCCAGGCCTCTGGTAGAGGACCCGAGCTTGAAGGATAAACCGCCCGCAGGGGCGAGTGGGGAATTTTTTGTTTTACATGACAGCAGTGAATCAAAAGTGCAACAAATTGTCAGCGAGTCAGTGTTCTTGCCTTGATTAAGTTAACAACTTTGTCTCGCATGTGCTTCAAAAATGCAAAGTTACAGAATCAGAATCAGAAAGACTTTATTTATCTCCAGGGGGCAATTAAGATACAACAGAGCAGCATGACGTTGAAGGTAAGGACAGGGCATAAACATGGTAAATGGCCTGTATTTGTATACTTAGTCCCTATGGACCCCAAGGCACTTTACATTACATTCAGTAATCCACCCATTCACACACACATTGACACACCGGTGATGGCAGCTACACTGTAGCCACAGCTGCCCTGGGGTGCACTGACAGAGGCGATAACATACAATAATAGTGAAATAATAAATACACAGAATATACAGTATATACACAGTTTTAAAATTAAAGTGACTGAATAGGTGAATAAATAACTGTAAGTGACTAAAAGTGAGTAAAGTGTCGGCAGTATAAAAGAGTGTAGAGTAGATGGAACAAGCTGCATTATACTTATTTACATTTGAATTCTAATTTCCCATTCACCTTTAGATGTCAGAGACACCAAAAGGCTGTGGCCTGCAA